ATGATTGCTACCATTTGCACTGTATTGTTCACCTTTGGCATCACTACTTTATCTATGTTTACCATTTACATAACTACCTTAATATCATTACCATTTGCACAATTGCCTCTTCTACTCTTTCCATTTGCACAACTGCCTCTTAAACTGCTATCATTTGCACAACTGACCATATATTTATTGTTACCATTTGCACTTTGTACCATCTGCACTTGTTGATTTGTCTCTGGCCTTGTCAGTTTGTCCTGTGTCTTATCTGTCTTTTTGTATAGTATGTCTATAATTTTTGTAATTGGACGATACGCACACCAGTGGGTGAGAAACGGCATTTCGGTTCTCCTGTATGTCTTGCACATATAATGTGAATTGACACTAAAATATCTTTGACTTTGACATTGAAGGTGTGCAACAGTGCACTGTGGCACACAGTCATTTATTAATGTAACGCAAAGTGGCGCAATAGGAATAATAGTTTTGCTTTTAGATTTTATTTTTGCGTTTTGCGCTGGAGTCTGCAGAATAAGGAAAACACTGCAAGAAAAACAGAAACATTTTGAAAACAGCATTTTTGTAAATGTAAATGCCTAAAAAGGAAAAAAAAAACACAGATCTTAGTCTGTTTTCAGTATTAATTTGTTGAATATTTTGTATGGAACGATGAGCCCTGAATCTTCTATCACACCAAATTGTGAATAGACTGTATCATTACACCCATAGCCAGCAGTAAAACTTACCGATCAAGGTGGGAGGAGGGCGTCATGCCTGTGGATCGATAGGCCAAAATTAAGATACATTTTTATAGATCATACTGTTTTCAAAACATTCTGGCCTTGTTATGCTAATTAAGTTGAAGTCTGTTTGAAATCATATTAATCACAAAAAGTAACTTGTTACTGAGTAACTGGGAGCTACAAGCCAAACCGTCTCTCCTGGCTGCTACCTGCTGTCTCTCTGTGCTGCCACTAGATGTCACTGCTTCTCTTATACTGTCATAAGCAAGCTGATGTCAGGAAGCCGCCCTAATGAAATAAGCTCAGAATGTGGATGGCAGTTACATCTATTTAAATACAAATATAATGGATGGATATTTGTGTTTTATTCACAGCGACCAAGTGAAAAGATGTAATTCACACCCACATAAAGGGGACTTATCATCCATCTTCAAGGTGTGCATTTATTACTGAAGTTTATTTTCTTATTTTATCCAAATTGACATACATCTTCTACAGATGTACAATAAGTAGTTCATCCTGTCAGAATTGATATTTACATTAATGCTGCGTTCCATTTACCTCAGAGGTCAGAAGTCGGAGCTGGGAATGACGTCACACCCGAGTTACCCAAATTCCAGTACAGCAAGTCGGAAAGCCATTTAGCAAAATCAGGGACCTGTTTCAAAAAGCAAGATATCTTGCTTAGCCAGACGACTTGTTGTATTTAAGGTACCCCAAGTTAAATGTACTTTATCTTTGTTCACTTATATTTAGCCCAGACTACCTTAAATCTGACAAGTTATCCAGCTAAGCAAGAAAATCTGCTCTCTGAAACAGGCTCCAGGTGGCAGTTGATAACAACACATTATGTTGTATTTTGCATATAAAAACACCGTAGCAACACAATAGCGGTTGGACAGTACTGTGTGTACGACTGGTTTAATGAGCCACAAATAATACATAACTGCTAATAAACACTATAAAACTACAGCTTTAACTTCTGTTGATAAAGGGCACAGCCATTTTGAATTCTGAGGTGGGGTTTTTGTAGATTTCTCCAACTCAAAATTCCGACTTCAGTTCCAGGTGAAATTTACGACTTAGAACTCAGAATTTCCAAGTTACAGACTCAAATGGAACGCAGCATAAGTCACACATGAAATAATAAAAATACATACTGCCAGGAGTGATAATAATTAAATTGTAACTGTTCATTTCAGTTACTGGAGAAAAAAGCTCAAACGTTTCTGAAGGATGAGCTGATGAAATTCAAAAGGTACCTGGATGAGAATGACCCAGAATGCTCTGAGCCTCAGCTGGAGGAGGACAATGACCTGGACAGTGATGGTCAGATGCAGAAGACCTGTGGTAGAGAGGGAGCTCTGAAGATCACACTGTACATCCTGAGGACCATGGAGCAAAATGATCTCGCTGACATGCTGGAGAAGAGTAAGAGCTGTACCTCATTCAGTGTGTTTGATTTGCTGCAGAAAAAGAGTTTATAAAAAATTGTATACTAAATTTCAGTTTGTCATTTAATTTAATTTGTTTTAATTTGGCTTGTATTAGTAAAAATGCGTGTCTTTTGAAAAGCACGTGCATTTTTCTCGTTTCATTTCAGGGCATCTTTTGTTGCAATGTCAGTGCAAAATGAAATGTAACCTGAAGAAGAAATTTGAGTGTGTATTTGAAGGGAAAGCTAGGGAAGGTCAGCCAACACTTCTCAGTGAGATTTACACAGAACTCTACATAACTGAAGGGGGAGCTGGAGGAGTCAATGATGAACATGAAGTGAGACAGATTGAAACAGCATCCAAGAAAAGGG